ATATATATATATATTTATAGTATAGTACTTTTAATAATGGAACTGCATGAAGTGGTTGTTCCCCAACACATACTAAATCACTTCCTACACCGTTATCAATGATTCTTTGTTTTGTCACATTTGTCAGCTCTCTATCAACTTCAAAGACTCCAACTCCAGGTGTAATAACTACAGATAACTGACCAGTCCTGTCAAAACTGCGATCCAAGTAGTGTTTCTCAAAAACTGTGAAAATATGGATAGATAGAAATACAAAATATCTAACTAATATAAATATAAGATACAAAATAAGTATAAATAATTACAATGTTATTTTTTTGCTCTTAATGCTTACCATTCAGAGACATATTCAACACTTCCAGAAAATTACCCTGTGCAGCAGTAGAATTTACTGCCTTAGGCATATTAATACCTGGTTTTTGGTGATATTCCAAAACAATTTTTTGATAATCAGTGAACAGTTTACGTAACTGTACCAAGATATTACTCCAGTCTTCAAATCTTTCATTTTGTACTGCAACTCTATAAAAATCTTCATAAAATCTTCCTCTGTAATCATGTTGCAAACATTCTCTCATATAATTCGGAAATTCCTCCAAACTGGTTGCGTTATAAAAAGTTCTTGAGAACAGTACTATGGTAACTTCATGATTGCTGCCATTCCTTTTCCATTTCTGAAATAAATCCGCTAAGAATCCATTAACTGCTTTCTCAAAGTAAAGATCTCCATGTATATCAAAATCCCACATTTCAGTACTCATTTGAAGAAACAGGTACACCATACTTGTAGAAGATCGAAACACTACCTGTAAATCAGATTTTTTTTTTATGATAAAAATAAAGAGGCAATAATAATAAAATACCATAATTTCCTACAAACTTTAGTATCATCAGTTATAACGCCGCAAGCAACACGATCACCCTGTGACCACATTTCATATACCTGACAACGTATACTACCACCACAAAACTCTATCTTCTTATTGATATATACGCAAGTGTTTACCTATTAAAAAAAACACAAGCTTATGTACATATTGCTTCAAAATACAGAAGAACAATCAATTACAAATATAAATATAAAATAAAGAAATATAGTACCAAGCTATTTTTCAAACGCCACATCTCACTACGTCCCATATATTGATCCTTAAAAGTTAACTCTATAGAATCTAGAGCTACATCATCGGGATTTACTATATTCATGTAAACATCAGCGAACGTTCGCAGTTGGAACATCGACGCTACGTTACTTTCCACACTGATGGTTTCGCGTCCCTGGAGATCTTCCTTAAAGGAAGTAACTTGCAACAACAAGCGACTGAACTCATCTTCGGGATGATAAATTTCAACAACATCACCAGTTTTTATGCCGGGATAATCCTTCGGATTGATGATCAAGTCTTCTCCACTGAAATTCTTCTGATGCACTATCAACTTAAAAAGCTTCATACTTCATCCGACATTCTGCTCTGTGGCATAAAAGTTTAAGTAACGCACCGTTCGTACATAATAAAATATAAATGTAATAATTAATAGAGGAATTTGCTAATTTAATTTCGCAAAGACATTTCCTTACTATTTATATTATTATTTAATTTACATACGCTTATATCACTACTACATATCAGTGCAGTGTTGCCAACTTTAAATTTCAAAATTCCGCTAGAAGCTTTACCAAAAAATTCCAAAAAAGACTAAATTTTACAAAAAACAAAAATAAGCTTAATTTTACAAAAATTGTTATAAAAAATAATAAATCGTTGTAAAT